AAACTCAGTAGTAGCACTACAATAGCTCGCGCTATCACGCATACCACAAAACCCCATAGACAGAAGCCTGTGTTCCAGAGGATCTCCTCCGAGAACAGCTGGACACCGATGAGGAAGAAGATGATGCCCTCACTGATCTCCGAAATCTGCTTAATGATCTGCCGAGTTGTGTTCAGCATAGTGGATGACAAATTGTGGAAGGCGTAGTTGGCTTGCATCAGACCACATCCAATCATTGAAATGATACCAGACCAGCCCAGGGTGTCTCCCATGATGTAGGAGAAGTAATCCATGGTGATGAGGAAGATTGAAGAAAAGTGAGATTCCCAACGGGTGAAAAAGCTACTAACGACGCCATAAACAATTCCGACTAGGAGACCGCCCAAACTGATTGTGAAGAAGGACCCGATTCCAAGACCAATGTCTGCGCCCGTAACTGTCGTCACTTTGACAAACTCACTCATAATTTCGTAGAGGACAACTGTGACGGCATCGTTGAGCAGAGATTCACCGAAGACCATGTAGTAGAGGCCGGGTTCCACACCAATGTCCTGAAATATGGCCAGTACAGCCACCGGATCGACAGCGACAATCAGCGAGGCAAACAAAAAGAAGGAATTCAGGCTGACATTTGCAAGGCCATCTCCCATCGCTCCGCCCTTACAGAGTCCATACATCAGGGGTCCAATGATGACGAAGTTGAGCACTGTTCCGATCACTGCATAGATCAGGATGGAGGCAAGATAGTCAATGAAGGTTCGATTGTAGAGACCGAAAGCGGCGTCCAAGACGATGGGTGGAAGGAGAAAGTGAAAGAACATGGTTGGAGTCAATTTCCAGAGAGTATCTTCGATGGCGTAATCGGAGGCGTAATAAAAGATGACTCCAAAAATGACCCCGATACAAATCAGCAGTAGTGATTGGGGAATATAATCTGGCACATAGGGTATCTTTGGGTAGAAGGTCTTGAAGAGGCACATCAGCAGGATGAGAGCGAAGGCACCAAAGAAAAGCTCAAATTCTGCAAAATCCCACTTAGCTAGCTGAATGCCACCCTCTGACTCGGTAGTGTTGTTTCCAGCTCCTGAGTTTGCCTTGATTTCCTCTGCAAGAAGCAGGACCAGGCCGACGATGACTGGAACCGCAGTCAACCTCCTATTCAGCATCTTTGCCGCAGTGATATAACGTAGCTCATGATTGTGTCGTCTTTTATGCTTTTGCTGAAGAAAGTATCAGTTAGTCAGTCATTAGGTGTAGACGGCAGGCGAATGCTCACATTGGCTGGTCCACAGGCCTAAATGGATTTCTAACCAATAAATGTGTCACATTAGATGACAGCTTCCTGTTGGAGGGTCGGTAAAAATCATCAATGGCAATCGAAAGAGGGTGGTAGGCGTACCTGCACTGACAGGTCAGGACTATAAATGAAGTTCTTACTGACAAACCTACGACACGCCCAGTGACCTTGACAATGTACTAAGTAAGGTTGAGTACAAATAACGCGCGAACCTTCTGAAATAAAGATCTCCAAAGGTGATTCTCAAAGTCTTGAACGTCGCCCAGTCGCCTACACAAGCTACCTATGAGCTTACTACTTGTTACGAATTTTGGAGGCCTTTTGGTTACTCAATTAACCAAATCGGAAAAAAACTTGGGACACCTCGGTGGGACTGGATGGATTAAAATACTTATTAATCGGTAAGCATGCTAGACGTCATGTGGATTTTAGTTAGTCCCCAAAAAGTAATTCATCACACCTATCGGCGAGACAGCTACTAAATGCATGCCATCAGAGGCGTTGTCATTTTGTTTTTTTTTAACGAAAATTGCCAAGACCTGGGAACTCGATCGCCAGTCTAATCAACAAAAATGCCCTCACATCTAATGCTAATACTATCCAAAATTCATATTTTATGCAATTTCTAACTATGAACCCGAATAAATACATCCTTCTCGCAGTTCTAGAAGTTGAGCCCAAGGTAATCGATAAGGTCAATGGATTCTTCAGTTATAGGCTTCGATGATAATTTCACAACAGAGAGGTTTTCATTTCTATCCGTAAACCGTACGCACGATAACCTTGCAACAAGTTGGTAAGCGTGGATGTCGCAGGACAATTTCTAAAGATTTGCATGTTTAATTTGAAAAGTCAATTTGACTGACCTTTAAAATTAAGCATGGGAATATTTAAAAAAAATTTAGTACAAAGACCTCGTGATGTTAAAGGAACTTTCTAAAGAAACAATTTCGAGATGAAACCGCTAAATGCTGCAGGATTTGACAACAGTAGTTTAAGTAGTGCACCTCATATGGCCCCAGTCTAGCATTTTATCTTATGCAAACGGTGGTTATAGTGGTTTTAAGGGTGGGGAATTGGGAAAGGCAGTAGAATATAGTTTAATAACTGCTGTATGCATTTTAATTTTATTGTATTTAGAAATGTTGTTGATTTATAGCTGTATATTTTCCCAATCTGTATTATTGTTTGATGTGCTGCGGACAAACCCAATTATAAAAATGCAGGCTTCTTTAAATTCCTGAAAAATTTGAAATGGTGGCCGTCTACTTCAACTTACCTGTGGTCAAACTTACCGTTCTGGAGTTAGATTAGCTCTACTTCAACTTACCTGAGGTCCAACTTACCGTTCTGGAGTTAGATTAGCAGAGTCCGCGGCGCGAAGCGCTACGCACACCTTAATTTGCATGGCGAACAACTCACTCCCGGCGGCCGCGGGAAACAAATTCGACTGCATTGCCCCACTTTCAACTTACGTCTACAAATTTCCTTCACGGCCTATCCTATTTCCTCACCCCAATACCCCTGTAACCACCGTTTTCGTAGGACAAAAGTCTGGGCCTAGGGGTACATGCGATGCACTACTTAAACTACCTTTGTCCAAAATTTATTGTTTTTAGTGAAGTTCCCGACGGCTTTCTAATTGGAACCCTCTTTGCATGATTTAGATAACGAATGGAAGCATACAACCGTTTAAATTTTCGCAAAATGTTAATGCCTAACAGAAATGGTCATAGTTTATTACAAGTCATAGTCAGATGAAAGACATTAACCTAAACCAGCAAAGAGGACTGTAAAAGGGAAGAGAGGTACCAAAAGGACGCAGTCGCACTTAAATCTAGGCATCCGATTACCAGAACGATTAGAGATTGACCACGTGGTCAAGCTGCTTGCATAGGTTGGGATTCCCCGCCGTATGCAGGCTGCTTAGAAGTAGCTCAGGGCGTGAGTTTATGGTGTCCTATTAAGAACCATGGCACCCTTATTCCCTTGCTTGAAAAGCCGGCGGTCCTGGCCGCCAATTGCATAATCTGATCTCGTTTCCATTGTATCGGCACAAAACATTAAATATATAGGTGTTGTCCTTTCTGAGTATTTTATGGAAAACAGAGCACCCTATAGAGCCATCATCCTTTCTAAACACGAAGACGTCTAGGAACAGAAGCTCGTTAGACTATTCTGTTTCCATTATGAGTTTATTTTCGGATGTAAATAATTCCCAAAATAAACAGGGTCATCGGTGTCTACGTTGGTATCAACTGTAAACATATCATCCACGTATCTTCTACATAATATTGTCATATAGAGTCTCCATGACACCTTTTTTTCTAGGTGCCCAATAAAAACGTCGACAAATGTTGACCTCAGTGAACTTCCCATTGTGAATTTGTCAATTTGTCTGTAGAATTGCTCATTCAACAAAAACTTGCACATTTTTGGCAAAAAGGGTCAACCACTGACACAGTATTTCGGGCAACAGATGGATTTCAGACGCATGGGCACATATAACGTCTATCTTTTCATTCAGTGGTATTTCGATAAATAATGTTTCGCCGTCTGAAGAAATCACAAGCTCGTCAGTGATGTATCGCGGTACGTAGCTTCGAGTCGCAAATATTTTCCTGACAGTGGTCACAGGAAATTAAAAGGCCGAAGTTTCAAAACCGATATGTCAACCAGAAAGCAAACAGGGAAGGCTGGGGGGCCTACTGATGAACCGGACCCCTCGTAGCTGTATGAAGCAGCGACAGAATACCGGCGAATCAGGTGTTGAGGTCTTTTAGTTAGCACTTGGACCGTTAGTGCGGTAAGTTTCAACATCAATATATAATATAACAGTCTGTCCGTTGGCAGCCAGTGTATATTACGCAACGTATGACGGGTTTCAGCCCAAATACGGTATGGTGAGTGCTGCACGTAACTGCCTACGTTTGAAAAAGTTTTATTATTATTCGCATACCGGCGAGAACGGATTTATAAAAACTTAGAAATAATAATGAACAAAATTAGGTATATTAAGCAATTAAAAGAATTATGAGAAGTACTAAGTGTTTTTTTAAGAAAAATAAAATTTTCCCGATAATGCCCAAGTTCCGGAAACGTAAAAATAGCTATAAATTAGAAAAATAAATTTAAATCTTTTCGTAAGTTGAGAACGGAATGTAACCAATTTATTTATACAAAAATGACTTTTCTTTAGTCAAAATATTTTGTACATATTACCATTAGTGGATAGCTATTTATTGAATATCGTCCAATAAAGTTTGACATCATTTCGATCGTTTTCAGTGTCTTCGTTCATAAATTGATAAATTATGTTTCTATTCGACGTTTACATCAAAACCTTTACAATAAGATATAAATAAAGGCATTTACCGAAAAAATGAGTTTTGAATATTAGTTCATATGAAGACGGCCATGTGGATCATATTTAGAAAGGCCTCAAAACAGCAAACCACATTGTATAGCATACAAAAACGTCCGCAAGATACATCGGATATTGTTATTCCTAAGATTAATAAAAAACCTTTCCATAATAGGTTACCTCTTTAAAAAGTGCTCTTATTGGATACTCTGCTGACGAATTTCTGTGTATATTAACATTTCCGAAGTAATGTCACAAGGAAATTCGAGACTTTTGAGTCGTCGTCTACTCAATTACTTCCTGGGACTCGCATGTTCGCTTGCATTGACAATTTATTTAATTTACCTGAAGATAAATGATTCAGGTTGACTGAAGATGAAAGAACTTACTTTTCTCTTTATAATCGATTGTTTTCCGCATAAGTGGATTAATTCCACGATCCATTATAAGCTTGCGAATGCAAAAAAATAGACCACATATATGGCCATTTTTTGAATACTTGTTATTCTTCTATTTGTTCCGTTTCTAAA